ATTAAACTTAAAAGTTTTGCACAGCAAAGGAAACCATAAACAAGATGAAAAGACAGCCCTCAGAATGGGAGAAAATATTTGCAAACGAATTGATGGACAAAGGATTAATCTCCAAAATATACAAACAGCACATGCAGCTCAATATCAAAAAAATAAACAACCCAATCAAAAAATGGGTGGAAGACCTAAATAGACATTTCTACAAAGAAGACATACAGAGGGCCAAGAGGCATATGAAAAGATGCTCAACATTACAAATTATTAGAGAAATGCAAATCAAAACTACAAAGAGGTACCACCTCACACTGGTCAGAATGGCCATCATCAAAAAGCCTACAAACAATAAATGCCGGAGAGGGTGTGGGGAAAAGGGAACCCTCCTACACTGTTGGCGGCAACGTAAATTGGTACAGCCACTGTGGAGAACAGTATGGAGGTTCCTTAAGAAACTCAAAATAGAGCTACCATATGATCCAGCAATCCCACTCCTGGGCATATATCCAGAGAAAACCACAATTTGAAAAGATACATGCACCCCAATATTCATTGCAGCACTGTTTACAATAGCCAGGATGTGGAAGCAACCTAAATGTCCATTGACAGAGGAATGGATAAAGAAAGTATGGTACATATATACAATGGAATATTACTCAGCCATAAAAAAGAATGAAATGCCATTTGCAGCAACATGGTTGCAACTAGAGATTATCATATGAAGTGAAGTCAGACAGAGAGAGACATATATCACTTACATGTGAAATCTAAAAAAATGATACAAATGAACTTATTTACAAAACAGAAACAGACTCACAGACTTTGAAAACAAATTTATGGTTACCAAAGGGGAAAGGTGTGGGGAAGGGATAAATTAGGAGTTTGGGATTAACATATTAAAACTACTATATATAAAATAGATAATCAACAAGGACCTACTGTATAGCACAGGGAACTCTACTCAATATTCTATAATAACCTAGATGGGAAAAGAATCTGTAAAAGAATGGATGTATGTATATGTATAAGTGAATCACTTTTCTGTATACCTGAAACTAACACAATATTGTAAATCAACTATACTCCAATATAAAGTAAAAATAAAATTTAAAAAAAACCTAAACAGGGAAGAGGGAAAGAATGTTCTGAGGAAAGAGGTACAATTTTAAATAGGGTGATCAGCAAAGGACTCACTGGCTGATACTGGAATGAAGACTTATAAGAGGTGAGGGAGCAAGGCTCACAAGTGATCAGGAAGTGTTCTTCAGGAAGGGGAACAGCAAGCAAGTGCAAAAGCCCTGAGCTAGGAGGATGCCAGGCACACCCAAATAAGAGCAAGAAAGCCCAGGTGGTTGCAGCAGAATGGCCAAGGCAAAGACTAGCAAGAAAGAAGTCTAGAAAAGAAGTGGGGTGGCGGGGAGGTCACACCATTGAACACTTAGGTTAGTGGATTGAAGGTACTGATGGAGAATGATCTGTTGGAGTTTTAGTACTAGAGGGAGTAAATTGGAAAGTGGATTGTTACTGGAAAATGGAATACTTGAAATTGAGATTAGGGAGGGATTTGCAATCAATAATGATAAGGTCTAGTATATGTCCTTAGGAGTGAGGGCTGAGGTAAGGGGGAGAATAAGATTATTAGGAGGAGGGAATAGAGCATGGCCTACTCTAAGGATATGATATTCAGAGCCAGTTGTTTTAAAGAGTAGGGAAGGTTTATAGAGGACACAAGGGGACACTTAACCTGCTTCCAAGCCCAGTGGTGGATCTGGAAGAGAAAATAACCACTTTGAGAGGGCTGCAGAGGAAGTAAGGTTCTTCAAGAGAGTCAGGTTTTAATTAGAATAGAAACATGAAGGGATTGTTCAGAAAAAGCACTGATATAAAGATTTTGCTAATGAATGACTCAGTTCCTAAGGGCAGAGTGAAAGTGTTTGGGGAGTTGGGGAGAAGTAGGGTGTGGTCAGAATATGGGTTGCACAGAGGAGCCATATGGGGATTAGAGGGAGGGAGATCATGACTGAGCTTCTTGTGAGGACAGGCAGGCTCCATCCTGGTGGTCCTAGGACTGTGGTGGGGGGCAACGAATGCTGGAGGGCGGGGATGGAGGAGCATCTTGCCAGAAGCAGTGTTCAGGGTCCCTTCTGTACTCTCGACCATAGATGACTGGAGGCATAAGGTATAGTCTCACTCTAAGCACAAAAGGCTGCCTCACCTTGCTCATTCCTTCTTTGTTTTAGCATCGTATACTGCCTCCTTTTTCATATTAGATCATAAGCTCTCTAAGGTTAGTAAGAAATTGTACTCACTTTGGCTTCACCTGTTGATTACCAGTACTAAGCTATTCAATAAATATTTGTTCAAAAACAAGTAAATACTTTTTACTGGATGGAAGGCATGGCTGAAAAGACTAATGATTTCATATTTAGTCTTCTCTCTGAGAACTCTCTAGAGCTCCCCAACCCCTGACATTCTTGAGTCCAGCCCTAGTCCTAGAAGACCAAGTGCTGTTATAAAACCTGACACACTGTGAGTTTATGAAAAAACCAAAGATATTAGGGCTCTCCCTTCCTTATCGTAAGAAGTCACAATTCTGCTTGTAATATTTGCCCCACTGATCATTTCCTTTTAGAAAGAAGAGAATCAGGGCTTCCCTGGTGGCGCAGTGGTTGAGAATCCACCTGTCAATGCAGGGGACACAGGTTCGTGCCCCGGTCCAGGAAGATCCCACATGCTACGGAGCGGCTGGGCCCGTGGGCCATGGCCGCTGAGTCTGCGCATCCAGAGCCTGTGCTCCGCAACGGGAGAGGCCACAACAGTGAGAGGCCCGCGTACCACAAAAAAAAAAAAAAAAAAAGTTAGGTAAATATCCTGCCCTGCTAAACACAACTGATAAAAATGTGACCACCATAATCCCCCAGCCGCTCTAGTTAAGCTGAGAACCTTTCCCTTGGTTCCTCTGCACCCTGAAAAATATCTTGAATGCATTCAATATCTTTTAAGTGAATACATCCCATAAAATAATAAAACACCCCAAACTGTCTGATTAAAATATTAACTTTATTTCTAACTTTTCAATGAATAACATTTAGAGAAAGAATAAAAATGAAAACAAGGCACTATTGTCTCACACCACAAAATAATTTTATCCAAAGGAAATTCAGATGCAAGATACATTTAACATCAATTCATATATTAGTAACTTATACATTTATTATCAAGTATGAGATCCATAAAAGCATAGTCTCTCGAGATCTCAACCAAGCTTCTAGCTTACCTTATGTGTCACTTCCATGACTATCAATCACACACATAAAGAAACTACGAGAAATTTACTGATGACTTTCCAGAAAATTTACAAAATGAAAAAGGCAAAGTATGTCAAATAAGGCAGAGGCAGAATTTACTCTGGAAAGGCTGCCTAAGGCACTACCAAAACGGATAGTTGCAAATCCCTAATCTGACTTTAAATTTTTATGATCTTAAAATTTTCAATTCTAAGCACAAGGTGACATGACCATGCTAATTGCTATTTTCTCAGTACAGGCAGATGTGAGAAATATTACATCTATCCAGGGCACTGTCACCCTAATATATGTTTGTAATATATCTGTTTATATGAAGTGTGAAAATAAACTTGGTTATTTTTTCTTTAAATGCATTTTAAGAACTAATGGCAAAAAAAAAAAAAAAAAAAAGAACTAATGGCACTTGAATGAATTGTGGCACAACAGGGAAAAGGACTTTTTTAATATAAAACAATACTATATCAGCATGTGATGAGGTAAAATGTTGAAACTATAAGAATTTTATAAAATGATAATTTAGAAATTATAAATGCTTTTATTCAAAACTGCAAAAAGGTATCAGTTACTCTAATTTGCTGGAATCACAGGTCTTATGAATAATAGCATCTACTGATGAACCAAATCAAGAATGCATAATACAAAATTAATTTTCAAAAGGGAACAATTCTGGTTAAAATCAGAATATAAAAGTATGAAGAACAAATCAATTTGACAGTGGTGACAGAAGTACTGTTATTTGGCCAATAAAAACAATGAATGCTCATGACAAGTGCTTCCAGGTGTCCTGTGCAGGTGACTCAGGTGCTGCCAGGATCTGGTTCCCGAGAGTGAGGAGAAGGCCCAGTGAGTGGGGCTGTGGACCCTGCCCCAGCTTCAAACAGAAAACCTCTACTTTTGTTTTACCATACATTGAGAACATATGTAAATCGTTTCTTTTAAAGGTTTCATGTGTTTAAAAAAAAATTCTGAAAACCACCGTTACATATATATGCTGTTTGCAAGCACACAAAGAGAACTGAAATTAGGACATCTTAGACAACAAAGGCTCCGAACTATTGGAAGAATCATCAGTTTTTTCCTCCCCTAACTGATGTCAAGATGACTTGTCAACTAATGAGACATACTATAGAGCAACAGACTACTAGTTAGGTACCTTCAGGTTAACAACACATATCCAGAGGAGAGCTAGCTAAGTGGGAAAATGTTAACTGCTCACCTGGGCTAAGCAACCACTGTGGCGAGCAGATCCCCTCTCAGACTGACCTTGGCAATGAGCAGTTTCTGAGAAGCCAAAAGCTGTTCGTGGCTGAAAGCTCACTTGCTTCAGACATTTCAGGGAACAAGAGACCTGAGCTGTGGTGCAAGTTTTCAGTAAGACCAATAGGCTTAGGGTGCATCCATTTACAGATTCATAATAAACATGTAATTACAGCTTTCTAAAAAAAACCTTCCTTTAACCTAGATTTTTCAATGAAATAGCATAAGCTTTTATAAAACGCTAAATTGTTCAAGATGACTAGCCAATACACAGATATGCATAGTACTTGGCACACAGCTCCTCAATAAAACGTTACTGAATCTATTCTGAAAAGGTAATGTTTGCTAAGTATTATGTTCTAAAGGGTAAAAATCAGGAAAAAAATTCTACTAAAAAATAAAAACGCACTCTATCCTATGCAGCAATTGGATTTTTTTTTAAAGTTATAACAGGTTTTATGCTTAATACAATACATTCTGGATTTAGGAAATAGCTCATTATTAAAACATAAGATATGATTTTGATTAATAACCACTATCATGAGTTTAAAAAAAATCAGACTAAAAATGTTACTTAAAAAAAAAAGAGAGAATATCTAAATGAATCTACACAAATGTACAAATCAATATATGGGACCTTAACAAGGAAAGTATAAACATTGCTTTTTTTAATAAGTCTTTCACTGATTAAAAGGAAATAGAATTCTGAATTTCCCCTTATATGTTTTGTCCTTATAGTTTTCCTGGATAAACCCATCCTGACCATTTTAACAAACTCCAATTAAAATAATCTAATAATGTTGAATCTAGGGCTACCTATCATCAATGCAGATACAGAATCCTGAGTGTCACATACAATCAATGAAAAGGTCAAATCTGACCATGTTTACAGTATTCAATAATGAAAAAGAAAGATCTAGGAAGGCAAATAAAAATGGCTTACTTACATGAGGTTCCTTTTACTTGTTGATCGTACAATTTTAAGAACTGAATATGTGCCTTCCCTTCTCATTCGGTACTTTTCATGAAGTCCTATGAAGATGCGTGCTGTTTTGAACTGTGCATGTCTAAATTGCAGCAAAATTCAGGCACAAGTAAACGTAGTTTTATCCCATGGAATAGCACTAAGTATAGTTCTAGAAACAAATTCAATATCATCTAATTTAAGAAGCCCTTGCTGTCAGGCATGGACATTGGCTTATAAAACATATATTGCCTAGAGCAAAGCACGGCAACCTTCGCATCATTCCAACAATTTTCCACTCTTTCTTATTTACAAACATTCAAAAACAGCATTTTCATCATATGAAAGTAAACAACCACAAGAACAAAATCCGCTTTTCTCACACCAGTTTCTAATCCAAATAGCCTCACTGCAATTACTGTAAATCACTAGCAATCACTGAATTGATTAGGCAAAGATTAAGTTAGCACTTTCCTCCAAAAAAAGTAAAAAAGAATGCTTTAAATAGACATAATCCATAGAGAACTAGGTTTGCATCATAAATGCTGGGGTTCGTGAGAAGTGTGTAAAATGACAGATTCATGATTTGGGGTCAGAGGGAAATCCATTGCTCCACACAGCACAAAAGACTTCTTTCTGCTCAGGCGACCAGAGCTCCTTTCATTTCGTAGCCGGGCTCTTGGGAGGAAGGAGTTTGTATGTGTTGAAGTAGCCTACCACCTGCTGGGGGATCTCCGCCAAGACACATTGAGCAAGGGCTTCTTTTGGAGCCTTGTGAAAAAACAAAATCAAAGCAATTTTATTAGCAACCAAATTTTTACTGGCATTTTGATAAAAGACTAGGAAAAAGCAGTTATTTCCCAATTCCTAGCTTGTATCTTGTCTCAGGTACTGTCCATGAAACATGGAATAAACCAATGTTACTTAAGAATGCTTGAGTATGCTCACGAACATTTATCAAGTACTTTTGTGCTGCCCGCATTTTGGCATTTAATGATAATTCTTTTGCTCTTGAACTTTTAAATGTGGGCCTTTCATTCACTTGGTATTAAGTTTTTTAACTTTTTATTTTGAAATAATTACAGATTCATAGGAAGTTGCAAAAATAGTACAGAAAGGTCCCACGTACCCATCACCTAGTTTCCTCCAAAGATAACATCTTATATAACTTTAGTACAATATCAAAACCAGGAAACCAACATTGGTATAGTTCACAGAACTTATTCAGATTTCACCAGTTTTACATGCACTCATTTGTGTGTGTGTGTGTGTGTGCACACACACATGTAGTTCTATGTAATTTTATCATCTGGGTAGATCTGTGTAACTACCATCACAATCAAGATACAGATCTGTTTCATCATCACAAAGATCCTTAACATTACCACCTTTTTAATACACACCCACATCATTCCCCACACCCACCCCCACTCATACATTGGTTGGTGGGAACGTAAAATGACATAACTGTGCCAGAAAAGTTCAGCAGTTTCTTTAACAACTAAAATGCAACAACCATACAACCCAGCAACTGCACTTCAGGGTATTTAACCCAGAGAAATAAAAACTTATGTTCACACAACAACCTGTACACGAATGTTTACAGCAGCCTTTGTACTTGACAGATGAGAACTGGAAACAATTGAAGATGTCCTTCACTGGGTGAATGGTTAAATAAACTGGTACACCCACACCATGGAATACTACTTAGCAACAAAAAGGAATACATTTAACAACTGGGAAGACTCTCAGAGAATAAAGCTGAGTGAAAAAAAGCCAGTGTCAAGGTTATATACTGTATGATTCCATTTATATAACATTGTTGAAATGACAAACATATACAAATGGAGAACAGATTAGTGGTTGCCAGGGGTTAAGGAGGGAATGAAGGTGGGAAGGAAGTGGGTGTGGTTATAAAAGGGCTACATGAGGTAGCCTGCTATAATGGACCTTGACTGTATCAAAGTCAATATCCTGGTTAGGATTCTGGACCTATAGTTTTATAAGATGTTACCATTAAACTGGGTAAAACAGTTTACTGTTTACAATTTTCATCAAATCAACTTCTAGTTTGGTAAATTCATCATATACTTGCATAGAGTTTTTCTGTTATTACACAGGTAAAGATAAAATATATTCTAAAACATTCACAACAACATCTTTTTAAACAATTTATCACACGGACTGCAAGAGGCACACAAGTATACAACCTGAAAAAAAACTGCCAAATTTAATCAAGGGTCTTAAAATGGAAAATTCACACACTCTTAACAACCCCTGACACCTACTCAACTGCCTGGTTATGGACCGGCAAAGGTCTGTGTTCAAACACCTTAGAGTGCATGAAGAGTAGGGAGGAGTGGTACTCACGTTCTGGAACTGTCTGAAAGGCACAAACTGGACAATATCCCTGATGGCTACCTCGCCCGACGGGGAGCGGAGACTTCCACCATCACCATCCAGAAACTCCATGGCACCAAAGTCAGCACCTCCGACTCCGACAATGATGATGGACATAGGCAGCTTGGCAGCGTTAACGATAGCTTGTCTGGTCTCATCAAGGTCTGTGATCACGCCATCGGTAATGATTAAGAGCACAAAATATTGCTGCCAAGAAAGACAATTATGTCTGCTGAGCCAGCCGAGCTCCCCAACAATAAAAGCAATGGTTAGACTCTAATAAATACCATATGTTAACACATATATATGGAATCTTTAAAAAAAAAATGGTTCTGATGAACCTAGGGGCAGGACAGGAATAAGACACAGATGTAGAGAATGGACTTGAGGACACGGGGAGGGTAAAGGGTAAGCTGGGACGAAGTGAGAGAGTAGCACTGACATATATACACTACCAAATATAAAATAGCTAGCTAGTGGGAAGCAGCTGCATGGCACAGGGAGATCAGCTCAGTGCTTTGTGACCACCTAGAGGGGTGGGATAAGGAGGGTGGGAGGGAGATGCAAGAGCGAGGGGATATAAGGATATACGTCTGCATATAGCTGATTCATTTTGTTATACAGCAGAAACTAACACAATACTGTAAAGCACTTATACTCCAATAAAGATGTTAAAAAAAAAAAAAAGCAATGGTTAATGACATCTCCAGCCTGATGAGTCATTTAGTCTCTTTCTTGCTCATTTTCCTTGTCAGTCTCTACCCAGGATACCATCTATATGAAATATTCTAAAATTCTCTGATGACAAGGAAATTAACTGATACAAAAACTGTAGTTTCATTAAAAGTGCAACAGACCACAAAAGAGGGCTGGCATAAATACACAGAAGCAAGACACCTAAATGTCAGAGATTAAACTTTCAGTTAGCACTGAAACATTCTGATTTAACTGAAGTACTGAATATGTCAAAGTACCTATCAAGGGAGCAAGTGGCAACTCCGTTCTTAAAAGATCAAATACGGAGGAAGTAGAATCGTTCATCAAACTAAAACATACTTTTTTAAAAATGGATATGGTTCAAGGTGGGGAAATCTTTCTCTCAATCCCATCATCTCTGATGAATCATTTTAGAGAGTGGTAAAATGTTACATAAAGTTGTACTCCATCCTTTGGGCCATTTAAGTCTAAAATGGAAATAAGATTTATAATAATAGCTATCATGTGCTGAGTGTTTACTCTGACTCAGGCACTGTGCACTTTATATGAACTATCTTCTCTCACTCTTTCAACAACTGCATGAGGTACTTATCCCTTATTTCTGAGGATACTGAAGCTGAGTGGGGTTTGGTATCCAGGGTCCAACAGGTAATGACTCTCTAATTCAGACTTCTTTAGTATGCTATTTTGCAACAGCAACTGAAGTGGTAGGTCTCCTGAAGCCTAAACTTGCTAAGGCTACTTCAAAAAATTTTTTTGAGAACCTACCTGAGAAAATTATTTCAAAAGACAGAGAAAAAACTTACAAGTATACAGGTTGTTTAGTTGTTGTCTTGTTCTTAATGGTCACTAATTTAACAACAGATGTTACTCCCAAACCAAGGATGATATATATCATTGCTTCATGCCCTGTCTTTGTATCTCAGCAGACCAAATAAACAGAAAAATGGCTCTGGGAACAACAACCAATCCACATTCTCCCTGCCCCCTGGCGACAGGGCACTTACAGAAGCTGTCTGTTGTTGTGTGGCTGCAGCAGCAAACCTGGCCACATGATTTATGATTGGAGAAAAATTAGTTGGTCCATAGAGTTTTATCTGAGGAAGGCAGGCCCGATATGCCTCTATAATGCCTTGAATTCCTAGACAAAAAAAGCAGGATTAAAAATTCTCAAGCACAATTTAATTGTTTACTATTCACCATACTGGCTAATTTAATTTATATACCAACATACAGTGCTTTAAACAGTCAAAAGTTCTATATTCAGGAGTTCTCTAAGGTGTATAATATTACAAAACTCCACAGCTATGCTCTATCACATAAAAACCCTATAAACTTTACTCTCCCCCACTAGAAGGCATTTGTTTTCACCTCAGCCAAATTATTCATTAGTCTAAAGTAGGGTTGTTATAGTGCTTAATTTTGATATGTTTTTGGAATAAGACTCTGATGGAAAAAGAACCATACAAAATATGCTGCAGCATACAACTGATGACAAGGTAAGAAAAAGTAACTGATAAAATGGAAAAACTTTTGCATATATGACCAGAGGTTCTACAGAAATATCATATAAGCTTATGCATGGTATAGTAGACTATATTAATTGCAAATATTCACTTCCAGGTTATTTATCACATTTTGCTGCAGAAACACTAAAGCATTTGTTTATGGGGTACACCTTAGGCCTGCTGGGCATTATGTAATGGAAGACTGGGCAGGCCCATTTGACTAGCTTTGTACAGTGCATATGAATGGATATGACATCCATGTCTAAGCAGATGTTTTAAGAATCACGGTCTGTTTTTGCCAGCTTTCTTGCTTTTTCCCCTCTGCCATGGGAACAGCATATCCCAGACAGCCCGAGACCCAGAATGAGTAGAAACAGAGCAGCGCAGCAGTCTAGCCAAGCATCAAGTGATTTGTAAAGTGAGCAAGAAAAAAATTATTGTCATTACAAGTTACTGAGATTTAGAGACTGTTGATTACAATAGCACAACCTATTAAAAGTTGAATGGCATTCCTTATTAAAGCACTGCTGATGAATCTGCCCCTAATACACAACAGAATGTCTGGGATGTAGGTAAGAGACTAGAAATCCTAGAAATTCCCAAGAGTGCCTTGCTAAGATTAACAAGAAAATCTTAAAAGACTTTTAATGTAAACCAAAACAGGTCTCTTGCTTAAAAAATGTCCAGCAGGACATAGATCAATAAGGAGGAAAAGCATATACTTGGTTTAAAAGCTTCACAAGACCATCTCTCCACTTGCCAATAAACTCCTCTTAGGCACTTTGAGTTTAGGAATAAGCGGTCTTATGAACAACCTTTGAGAATGCAACTAATTTATACGTAGAGGTGATTTTACATGCATAAGGTGAGGCTGGAACTAGAGGTTAGTCAGTCCAGTAGCTACAAAAATAATATTAACATAGGCCAGCAGCAGGATCTTACTGTAATGATATATGCTATAGAAAAATTTAACCCATAACCACAGCAATAGTAATATTTTCTTCCATTTCTATCATCTAGCTTGCTTTTCAATCTCCAGGTATACAAAACTGTTAATTAAATTTCTTCATAAACATCAATTGCCTTCCATTCCTCAACTAAAACTAAATTATGCTAAAATCTTTCCACTACATCAAGGGAACAAGTTAGACATGTTCTTTCTGGGCAACTAAGGTCGATGATTAATTAGGAAAACGGGATTAAACTTCCTTGTCTTAAAATAAGGCTGTATTTTTTCTGTGTAGTATTTCCTCTGTCTAACATCAAATTGATTATTTTTTCCAGACTAAACCAAAAGCAGAAAAGCTCTGCTTGGTGGCAGCCCAAAGATGGGCTCATGTTACTCACAGAGTAAATGAACTTCTAAAATGAATTATCCCATGGTATGTCAGCCATATTTACTTGCAATAAATAAAATCTAATTACAACAAATTCCAAAAATTGTTCCAATTTCATCATAAGCATGAAGACATTTCTTGAAAAGAAAAATATTCCCAGTTTCATATGCCTAGGGATACAAAAGGTCACAACCAGCCACTGAAAGTGCATAAAAGAACACTGAATTAGTACAAGAGTTTCAGAAAAAAAGGAGAAAATCCTAATACAAACTACTCCCAACAAAATGGTCATGCTCTTCTACTTTATGAATATTATTTAGGAAGGGAAGGAAAGAACACTCTCTTCTGTTTTATAATTGTTAAAAGGACCCTTTGCAGAAAATTAGCTTATTGTCTACAGTTTTATGCCTCTGCCCCTACATCTTTTCCTCCACCAAACTGTTCAGTCTTACATACTTTTGTGGGAGATTTGGCATTTTAGGTTGATTGCTCAGTGTGGCAAAAAGGAAGAGGCACTGGAATATTTGAGGGATAAACAGAAAAGTGAAATGAAAGAAATGCCTGTCCCTGTTTTCCACACAAAGGAAAGCTACTCTTGGAGCTTAGTTATGTTTCTTTAGCCCACCCCATCTGCTTACAGAACCCTGTGTAACAAGTAATTTGATGCTAGACACTTTTTCTTCAAAGAGAGTTAACTGCTAATCTGAGAAAAGCATCTGTATACTGAATGACCTGTTTTCATTGAAGGTTTATTTTAAAATCAACTTATATGTCAAAATAATATGCATATTCTTATGGATCTACCCTCAAGATTGAGAATCTTTTGTTCTAGTAAAACTCTTAAGGTAGAAGAATTTAGCCTGCAATCTTCATCATCATCATAGTGATCTGCATTATTATCATTACCACGCTAACCACCAACTTGGGGCAAAATTCTACTACTTTACATGATAGAAAATTCAATATGTCACAAAAAGAAACCTAGAGAGGAAATTTGAGTAGCTTTTTTCAGTTTAAAAATTCATGTTTATTTTTAACTTACCATTACAGTAGGGATTGGATGGATTAAAGTTTATTGGAAATTCATGAGAAACCTGTCAAAAGATGAAAGAAGGACTGATGAGGCTTGTTTTGCTTTGCTAGGAGGCAAAGCTTCGCAATGAGAGTTCCTCTTACCTGCCACTGAGGTGGGATCTGAGCTCCAAAACCAAAAGCTGGAAACATCTTATCACTGAAAAGAAAATTTGAAAAAAGCAAAAGGTCATTTTTATCTTTATTCATAATAAAACCAATATGAGCTTATTTTCTAAAAATTTGAAATCTTAGAAAAATATAAAACAAAGATTAGAACCAATGTTAATATTTGGCAACTCTCATTCTAAATATTTTTCTGTGCATTGAAGGAGAAAAATGTCTCTCTATATATATTAAAATGGACTATATATTAATATTTTATAACATACTCTTTTTTATTTATACAGTTTATCGTTTCACTAAATAAATATATAAATAAATCCGTAAAGTTTTAAAAAGCACAAGTTTTTTTCATTTGTTTACAAAAACACTAATTTGGCAGCAAAACCTGACCTCAACTGACATGAAGTTATCTATAGCCTTTATTTATGCTGCTTAATATGAATATTCATACATTTATAGCCACAGAAACATGGTACAAATGCCATACATTGTAAAACTCTCACATTTCTGCAGCAAAATGTATGAATATTCGGCCCAAGTGTTTAGAGATAATTATGGACCAGAATATATAACATCATGTGAATGGCTGTTAAGTATTCCACTGTATAGATATTCTCCTCCAACTGATAGACACCCTATGTCTTGCCATTATAAAACATTGTAATGATTACACTGATTTTTCTACTAAGGATATTCTTTTTTATATTAATTCTTAATGGTTCTTTTTGCATTGAGGATAGAACCTATATCTTATATGTCATGATATTTTTCCCGGTTGATAGTCTGTAACTTTGTTTAAAATATCTTCCCTTTTTTAGTTGTTAATATTAATAAATGTGAACACATAAAAATTCTTTCATGATTTTTGCCTTCTCTGTCTTGCTTAAAGGCTGTCCTCACTGCAAGATTATAAACAATTCATATATATTTTCTCCTAGAACTTCCAAGCTTTGTTTTTGATGTTAAACTTGAAATTCATCTGGAGTAGGATATGAAGCAGAAACTGCTACTCTACACCAGTATCCATTCTCTTCCTTTTTAATTATGGATCCCCTGGGCTACTGGCAACCACACTAGCTGTACTCTAGCTTCTCTGGGCTGGCAGTGGTTAGGTGGCTGGAGGTGTGAGTAGAATGATTTGTCAGCCACTTCTCAATGACACTCTAAAAGGGAAAGCACATGCATTCTCAGTTCCTTGGTCCTCTTCCCACTGGCTAGAGAGGATGAGAATCACAGCAGCTGCCTTGGACCCAGGGTGGAAGCTATAAGCGGCAGAACTGCCCTCTCAGTCCTGAACTACTTACCTCTAGAGATGCAACGTGAAAGAGACATAAACCTCTATTTTGTCAAAACTACTTTGTTTTGGGGTAGCCATTTCAGCAATTTTGTCTATAGTCTATACGGAATAGTATCCTAACATGCACAGGCATGAGTCAGAGATCCAAATCCAGTTCCTGTCCTGTTTGACAGCTGTCACAACCCCTTTCCCCCTAAATGCCATCTCTATCATATACTAAATTCACATACACTTTTGGGTCTATTTCAAGACTGCTTACTTGTTTTTACTGGTCATGTACTAGTCCCATACTCAATTAATATATAGTACTGTATATATGAAACTGATATAATGTTATAAACCACTAAAAAGTTAAATTAAATTATATATATATAGCTTTAAAATAAATTTTAGTACCTGCTAGAACAAATTCCCCTTCATTCTTTTTCCCTGAAAAACTTCTTGAGTATTCTATTTTACCCACTAGAAAATTTTAAGAATCATTTTGTCAGGGTTTCACTGCAATTCTGATTAAAGCTGACTAATATAGGGAGAAATGTTATATTTTACATCATTGTGACATCTGCCTATCTAGAATCGTGGCATATCTTTCCATTTAAACAAGTTTCCTTCGTTGTCCCTCAGTACAATTCTGTAGTTTTTCCTCACTAAAGATCCTAGACCTTTTACTAAATTCATTCTCATTTTTTTTTGCATTATGAATTGTGATCTTTTATCCACTATAATTTCTTCATTTGGTTTTTGCTGGTTAGTGAAAATTTGTTGATTTTTTATTTTATGTTGTATCTGACCACCTTTTAAACGTTCACACTTTCTAATATTTTTCACTTGATTCTCTCAGGTTTGAATTCATTCCTCATAGGTTTGGTAGAATTTATGTATGAAAGTTGTCTTGGCCGGTGCCTTCGTGAGGAGAGGCTCTTTGACCAGCCACTCCATTCCTTCCACAGTTCCTGGGCTATACAGGTTCTCTGCTTCTTTGAGTCAAATTTGGTAATTTACAGCTTTCTAAAAAAAATCATCCTTTAACCTAGATTTTTCAATGAAATAGCATAAGCTTTTACAAAACATTAACATAATTTTTTTTTTCTGAATTTATGCTTATAATCTCTGTCTCATAACTAATATTCTATACGTTTTCTCTTTTTCTTGCGGGGGTCAGTGTTGCCAAAGGTTTGCCTAAGCTTTGCTGAACTTGCAAAGAATCATCTCTTCATTTAATTTATTAATTTGGTGACTTTCCAAGTCATTATTTTGTGTGTTTGGAGGAAGCCCAGCACAGCAGAGCTGTGAGGGCATGTCCCTGGAGCCAGACAGCCCAGGTTCAGTCCTGTCTCTGCCAGTTACCAGCTGAGTGACCCTGGACAAGTTACTTTATCACCTATGCCTCAGTTTTCTCACCTGTAAAATGAAGATGATAACAGCACCTATCTCACAACTAAGTATGAGGATTTGATGAATACCATGTAGAAAGGATTCAAAATTTTCTCTGACAATAATAGCTAACATCTATATGGAATCTCCTACTATTGCTATATCTATATTTTTCTTCCTATTCTTTAATTTTATTCTGTTGAAAAGCTAGTTCATTCTATATTCAATTCTTGTTTAAAAATAAAACACATAAAGCAAGAAATTTTCCTCTATAAAGACAGGACCATGTACAGTCGTCTCATTACCCTTTATTTCTAGATAGTCTGTTATTACACTTTGATTTCCTCTTTGATCTAAGAACTACTTAGGAGTTTTTTAAATTTCCATGTGGTAAACTTTTTTTAGTTAACCTTTTGTTTTACCTTCCAGGAACCAGGCTGAGAATGTAACCCTGTAAATTTTCTACTTTTTATCTAAGTCCCATTACAACTGTGTTACTTTGAAATTTTTATTATATTTCTAGCTATTTTCAATTGATATATTTTGATAGTCTGTTACTAAACATGTCCACCGTTATATCTTCATTTTGGATTATATAACAAAGTGTCCTATAAAGTAATTTTTAAATTATATTTAATGAATTTTGTCTTAAATTCTATTAGGCTGATACTGAAACTGCTACACCTGCTTTAGACTTGTCTGCATTTGCCTGAAATTTTCATCTATTTAAATGTCATAACAAATTAATGAAAAGCTCCATCAAATATGTAAGGGCTTTTATCATAAAATAATAGGTGAAAATTTTTACTGTGCCCTAATAGATTGAGAACAAAAAGTTAATAATGTGGATTTTTTTCCTATTGTTTACTAAAACTTCAAGAAGACCTATTTAAATCTATTCAAAATTTATCCATTGAGAATCTATTCAAAATATTTTATAGCAATTATGTCAAGTTATCCTTCAACACTTGTTGAAAATCACCATTAAGAAAATAATTTGACAATGACTGCCAAGGAAATAGACATGTTAAGAAATAGCATCTATGAGTGTTTACAAAATGTGTCTTCTGGACTTCAATTACACAGATAACTTATCCCAAATGAGTAAACGCCAAGGAAACCAGATCAAAGAAACAAAAAGCCTTGCCAGCTTCAGTCAGCTGTTAAAGAAGCAAGCTATATATAATACATTATAACTAATCACAGCCAGAGATTAGAGGTCAAAGGTAAACACTAACTAAGACTGTCACAAAGGGAAAAATAGAAAAGATAAGACAAGAAATTTTAGGGAGAAAGCTATTCCTCCCCAGCATCCTTATCCCATCAACTACATCAGAGAACCAGCAGACGATACAGAAACTGCCCTTTCTGGGGAGTTATGTGTTGGAGCCATACTCACGCATCATAATCTTGAATGACCAGTCCCACAGACCAGATTGCAGTCAAATACTCATTAACACCATTGGGGCTGATGTAATGAAGGGAGTCGGGAGACCTTGGATCACCATTGGAGCCAGTGAAGTCCACTCCCACCTGCCAAATAACAATTGCAGCCCTTACTGAGATGAAGGCAGGGACACACTGGCTTGATGTCCAGTAAAACACAAACATTGAATTTTGAGACCGAAACATTCATCCCAGAGCCTGCTACTGCCATTTCCTAACAAATGCCTGAGCCTATGGGTATTTCCAGAGACAATTAAACAATTAAAGCCACAGCATGAAGCAACCCGCTACCCCTATTTTTCTAGATGTCTGAAATCATGGATTATTACATCCATGGCTTTAGGCATAGGGCTTGTTTTTTTTGTATGTTTGTTTGATTACTGCTTTTTATTATTTAAATTACTGCACGATAATCACTGATTTATACATATCTGCTTTCTTGCAGGAGAAAATATTTAACAAGGCCAAAAGCTTCAGGGTGAACCTAAACAAACTCTCTGAGGAGACCATACTCAACAGATTGTATAAATTTCATCACAAAGTCAATTTGGCAGTGAAAGAAAGAACACTGCAAAATGGAGGGAAAATAAATCACATGTTACAGCCCTATTTTGAAAAATTCAGTGTGTTACTCACAGTAAAATTCAGTTGACATCCTCCCATGATATAGTCAAGGAATGTACATTCCACTGTAATCTAAAAATAAATAGTAAACTTAAAATTAAAACTCTCCTACTACATAAGAAAAGCAAATAGCTCTCCGGCCTTTTTTTTTTTTTTTTGCGGTACACGGGCCTCTCACTGTTGTGGCCTCTCCCGTTGCGGAGCACAGGCTCCGGACACGCAGGCTCAGCGGCCATGGCTCACCGGCCCAGCCGCTCTGTGGCATGTGGGATCTTCCCGGACTAGGGCATGAACCTGTGTCCCCTGGATCGGCAGGCGGACTCTCAACCACTGCGCCACCAGGGAAGCCCTGGCATATATTTTTAACCATCTATAAAATGAACAGCACATGATATAAACATATGGAAAACACCCTTGCATTTGAATTTAAGGCACCCTGCCCCTACATGTCATGAATCTGTAAGATTTTACTTCAAGATAATTATAGCAATGTGAAGATTAGAATATTAATGGCCAAAGATGAAATACACACACTGTAAGTTTTAAGAAACTAGTAATGAGTCTAATATGTTGAGAGCTTTAATAAGTATAATAAGCAAGATTAAAAACAAAAACAAAAACTCCCACTTGTTTATAAGAAATCTCTTGGATTTTTTCCCCTTCACTCATAACATCTCATCTTGAAATAATGACCAGGATAGATGCGCTAAGTCAAGCCTTTTCCACTAATGTGCTGGAAAAATGCCAATGGTGCCTTATATTTCCTAAGACAATGAAAAACTTTGATATTCTTTGTCCTTTCCTAAAAAGTTGTCAAACCTTGGAAGCAAGGTTACTTGGAAGATTTCTCTACTATTTCCTATTCTCTTCTTTTCCCTAAAGGTGCCCAGTTGCTCATGTAATTTTCAACTGTCCACACAAACTGTTTGTTTAGAAGAACTCGAAATGTGATCTCATTACACTATAAGTGGTCAAGAGAAACTGACCTCACACTGTTTCACACTGATAACACCTGAATTCTTGTAGCTTTTCTTCTTTTGCCTCTTTTTTTCATTTATGCATTCAAATTCAACCTGTAGGAAGAAAAGACAAAAATGTTCATTATTACTAGTGATATAAGAAATGCCAATGTAAATTTAAATGAATGACTTTTTTCTCTTGGAATCAAACCACCTACTGATGTAGGTCTGTTACAAAACACAACTCTGAAACAACTGCATACTATGTCATATATATGAAATATTTATCAATGATATTTCCAAAAAGTACTTCTAAATTGTGTACCTTTTAAAATAGTTCCTAAGTATAAATTTTGCCTCTGTAGATCATTTCCTTACAAATGCTCTGAGTAATAACTTTTTTTCTTTATAATAAAGGAAATAAAACATTACTTCTAGCTGTTACCCACACAAAGTACAAAAATACACTGCTTAGAAAAGAAAAAAACCAACCATAAGAAAACAGAAATATATGAAGCCCAACTCTATGGTAAAATAAATATGCAGCAAAGATCATCTCTTTCCACTGGGAATATGTGTAGAAATTGATCTAGTATCTTACATCTTCTCAGTATAGTTTCTTCCTCCAAACAGATCATCTTCCTTTCCACCTCCTATCCACTTATCCCTCTGTAAGGCTTGGCTAAAGTTATCCTCCTCTATAACATCAACTCCTGTTCTAGTCTTCTCTGATCTCCATCTATCATTAAACTTCTACAACCACATAAAATTTAGTTACATACTTGGTATTGTTGTCAATTATTTCGTTTCATTAATTTTTTCCCATAGCCTAGGGTATAATCACTTCCAAGTTATACCTTCAAATTCTCACTGCCTTGCCTAATAATAAGAGATACTCAATGAGTACTGGATAAGTCACCGCTTCTGGTTAACAGAAAGCAACTTATATACTTTGGACAGAGGCATTAATAATTTTCGAAGAATCAAACATTTAAAAATACTTTTGATACAATGATACAAAATAAAATGATGTTAAAAAAAACTCCTTGAGGGCCTCCCTGGTGGCGCGGTGGTTGGGAGTGCGCCTGCCGATGCAGGGGATACGGGTTCGTGCCCCGGTCCGGGAGGATCCCACGTGCCGCGGAGCGGCTGGGCCCGTGGGCCATGGCCGCTGAGCTTGCGCGTCCGGCAACGGGAGGGGCCGCGACAGTGAGAGGCCCACATATCGCAAAAAAACAAAAAAACAAAAAAACAAAAAAACTCCTTGAGGGGCTTCCCTGGTGGCACAGTGGTTGAGAGTCTGCCTGCCAATGCAGGGGACATGGGTTTGTGCCCCGGCGTGGGAAGATCCCACATGCCACGGAGCGGCTGGGCCCGTGAGCCATGGCCGCTGAGCCTGCGCGTCCGGAGCCTGTGCTCCGCAATGGGAGAGGCCACAACAGTGAGAGGCCCGCTGAAACCAGTGAAACAACAAACCAGATCACTCTTCATATTTAATTCTTTTAGGTAGCTTGCTTTATTTTAAATGTTCAGATTTTCATTATTTTCCATTATTTCTGCCTTTAAAAATAAAAATAAAAATCTTTAAATAGAATATTTACAGCTGAATTTTGCTGTTGTTTTAATTCATACTGTTAACCTAATTCAATCTCTGCATTTAAACCATTGAGTGTGATTTGAAAGCCTTCCTTACTTCACACAAGCACTTCTGTTATTTCTAGTATCTGGGCTTTGTGACCAGGGTGTAGGGACAGGACTAGAGATCTCTACATGAACTACTGAAAATTCTAGTCCCACTACGTTTGTTCAAAACTCATTTCTCCCAATTATTTAAATCAAATAGCTGATAAGGTTTATTTATTCATTTAGTATTTAAGTTTTGATCTAAAACTATCAGTATCCTCTTTTGGGTCACCTCACCTACATGACTTCGTAAAAAAGACCTTCCCACCTGACCATAATCTCTTACGTTTAAGAGATTTTTAAACCTCATGTTTAGATTTTCAGAAGCAAATGCTATATAAAGGAGCATTATTCAGGTCTCTAAGCAGGTAATAAACATTTCATATTATTCTAAGTAAGCTATAAAGAGAATTAACTTATTTCATTCAAACTAGAAAGGTAAGTAAGAGGGAAACAACACTCTGGAATAGTTTTTAAGCACTTTGCCTTACAGACAGAAAAGTTTCAAGAAGCAATCTTAGAAATATGTGGGGATGATAACTAATAAACTGAACGTAGGGCTTCCCTGGTGGCGCAGTGGTTGGGAGTCTGCTGGCCGATGCAGGGGACACAGGTTCGTGCCCCGGCCTGGGAGAATCCCACGTGCCACGGAACGGCTGGGCCCGTGGGCCATGGCCACTGGGCCTGCGTGTCCAGAGCCTGTGCTCCGCAACGGAAGAGGCCACAACAGTGAGAGGCCCGCGTACCGCAAAAATAAATAAATAAATAAATAAACTGAACGTAGTTAAGGCAGACAAATGATCTTAACAAAATTAGTACCATTAGATGGCAGCTTAATATTACATAATTTGAAATAGCGTAACTATGCTTTTATCATTCCCTTGGGTGAGGACAAGTCAGAGGAAAGCCACAGGTAGAATGTAAAAGCCAATTTGTAAAATGTCCAAAAGGAGAATAAATGAACCCAATTCAAGTCCAGGTATTTGTCTAGTGTAGATATTAATTACCATGACCAGTGAAATGCCAAGATCTTTAAAACAAAGGATTTTCAATCAAACCATATAAATTGTCTGAAGACAAAGGAAACCAAACCTCAAAACATAAATGAAAACTCATCCCAAGTAAGAATTTTGGATCATCCAACTACTAAACAAATAAAATCCACAGCCTTCCGAGCATTACATAATATAGAGTAAAAGCATGGAAAACTATTTTCTATGCCAAGAGAAAAAATGAACAAATACAGGGCCAAACTATAAGGTATATGCAAATGACAAGGACGCAACTTACAGGTGAATTTCTGGAGGCTTCTTTCAGTTTTGTCATGGTGGTTTGAAATGTTCCAATGAGATCATGGGACCCATCATTGTCATGATCATAACACTCTACCTAGAAGTAAGTATAATAAAAATATATAAAAATCAATATAATTTTGTTAAAAAGTATTGGCTGCAATAAATGGGACTTACCAAGAAGTGTACTTTTAATTAAAATTCGTGAAAATGTTTAACATACAGTCCTACTTGGAGAAGTAGGAACTAACTTCCTAGAGGAACAATACCGAAACACTTTCAAACACTCGCTATTCTTGGAATGGGGTTCTAGGACACATCACAGGCAGACGAAAAACACAAATACTGTTCAAATTCCACATTAAGCAGTTTCCAGTTCCTGTACATGCCCTTTACAAGTGCTGATAAAATCAAAATGGAATTAGACCTTCTTTCTCATCTGCTTTTTACCTTGTTATCATTTTACAATGGCTAAAAGCCACTATCTATCTGGAGGAAGAAAGGAAGTCAGTATCCTAGGCAGCTAAAAATTGTATAATTAAATTCTAGATGATTAGTAACTACGGAAAACGTATTTCATTAGCTGCAGTTTGGTGAGGTTAGGCTTCTATTAGGAGTTAAATATGATGAAGTCAGATTTGCGTCATTCTGAGGATCACAACTCTCACAATGAAAAGGAAAATTCCAGGAAAAGTTTTTTATACACTGAGGAAGTATCTATACTGGGTCATAATTATTTTATTTCCATGTAAGACAGGAATCTTGGCTATGGCTCTCATTAAAGGCTTGATCTTTCTTGAAGCAGACAGAAGAGAGCTGAGGGTATTTGATTTCCATATAGTTTTGCACCAGGTTGACAGATGTAGCCGAAGAGTAAATATTCACAAGAATACCTGAATATTCATTGCAATGAGAAAATAAGGTGATGTGAACTCTTAGCAAACAGAGGTGTTCACCGTGATCATAAATAACCAATTTTTTTTTTTTTTTTTTTTTTTTGGTACGCGGGCCTCTCACTGCTGTGGCCTCTCCCATTGCAGCCTCTCCCGGTGCGGAGCACAGGCTCCAGACGCGCAGGCTCAGCGGCCATGGCTCACGGGCCCAGCCACTCCGAGGCATGTGGGATCTTCCCGGACCGGGACACGAACCCGTGGCCCCTGCATCAGCAGGCAGACTCTCAACCACTGCACCACCAGGGAAGCCCCGATGTTTTTATAGTGCTTTGTAATTTCAAACATTCTTTCTGCAAACATTTATTACATGCATTGCACACAATATCTACTGAGGCTTGTCAGGTAGGAGAAGAATTAAATAGTCTTAGAAGATGACATATCTTGTGTGGTACCCAACAATGTAAATCTGTGCCAAGAAAACTTTTGAATCCTTCTATAGCCTATGATTTAAAATAAAAGCCTGTACCTGAGAAGCAATTTGCATCTTACCCTATGCCAATCTTCCATCCTGCTATAATCCTTTACAAAGTTATATTAATCACCAAGCTAAAATGCTCAGGATTTATATATATTCACCTAGCAAAGTGATTTATTTTCTTCTCAGTTCTCTAAGAGGTGAATTGAGTGCTTATCATAACAGGAAGTCTTTCACCCCTTATATTTTCATTATTATTCAGGAAGACTGAAAATCAAACAATCAATAAATAAAACAAACAAGGTCTAGAATTGCAATTTTGAACAACAGTAAGGGTTTTTATTTGTTCCCAGTACTTCAGTCACTGATCAATTCTGACCTGCTAATAACTCTTGCCCTACATATCCGATACTCAATTTTTAAACCAAAAGCCCTTTATCTGACAGAAAAGAAAATTAATGACCTTAATAATTTTTTCTAGAGGAACTAAAATTAAGATAAAGTCAAAACAATCTTAATACTTTAATAATTTCATTTTTAAGAGTTTTTTTTTTATTATGGAAAACAGAATGTTACATTTTAGACTTGCACTCAGTAAACTCCAATTTATACCTAAGACAACAAGATCAAGCTCTGATAAGGCCAAGATTTTATTTAAACAAAGCTTATGCAGGAGCTAAAACTATTCATGTTTAGACTGTCCGAAACTTCAGGGAGTGTAAGAACATTTTTAAAATGTAATTCCCAATAACTCACTACAATAAATATATAAGAAAAGTTCACTGTTGCCTCATTAAAGGCAAATGTTTGATGCTAAAGGAAAATGTGACATTTATAATGCTGGCATATGTTCAGATACAGCTTGAGGTAAATGATGTAATGATTTGTGTCATTTAATTTCTCTTCTCATGAATTTAAAAACTAGTAATATTGGCTGTTTTAAACAACACCATCAGCAATGTTTGTGAAACTGAAATGTATGCATATACACATATGTGCATATGTATACATGTAAAAGAATGCACACATCACACAATACTACATTCACTAAGGCATTCCCCGTTTAGGCATGCATGATTATTTTTCTTATTTGCACGATTTTATGAAAATAATAATACATGCTAAAGTGATAACACTGGCACGTTCATACTGCAGCAAAGAAACTGATGATTCTGACTCTGCTCTATAACTCTTTACTACACCTCTAACCAATTTCCAAATACCAAGAGAATCACTGATGTATGACTTTCTGATATTGCAAAGAAATATAGAACTAAAGAAATTAAGACAGTGATGGTGTGGCAAACCAAGTTGTATATAGTCAAAACAAATGGAGAAACTTTTAAGAATTGGAAGACATTCATCAGAGAAAGCTCAGAAAATCAATTTACTTACTATAACAAAATAGCCCTGTAAGCATGCCACTGTGCATAAAAAAAAAAGTTTAAAAAGCATTGTTTCATTGTTAACATATTATTACAATCAGTCAAATAGTTACAGTTTAGGCATCTTTTTTCCCCAGCCTTTCTTGCTTCTCAGATCTAATGAAGCTTCAACTTTTTTTAATGTGAAAAGCAAAAGTTCTAGATTTAATAACAGTAAAAAGTAATTTGTAAAGCTACTTTTCTATTATTTACTTTGTACCTAGATATTCACTGCTATTTGAAATATCACACAAATCACACTCATTGATTTTTAAAGTTCTCTGCAAACTGAGGACAAAATTTATGGATCTAAGAAATGAAGTAGTTTTCAATAATAACAGCACCTCTACTGTGTTTAGGAGTTTATAAAACTTTCACTTTTATTAATTTAATCCTTACGTTATTTTGTTATGTAGACACTATTTTCTCTACTATATAAGTAAAGAAGTTAGATAACCTGCCCAAGAAGCCTTAGCTGGTTAAGGACCTAAGTCAAGTCTTGGACTACGGCTTGACTCTTTAAGTCCTTTGCTTGTTCCAGGCCATCACCTTTCCTGCTTTCACCATACTAATTATCAAAAAAAAAAAAAAAAACCCAAAACAAATAAACAAAAAACTCACCTCAGTTTGCTGACTTCTGAACATAAGAAAGGGGTTCTACCTGGAATCTTACGTAACGAAGTGACTCTAGTATAAAAGTGTCTTAAAAATAATGTATCTATTTTGATAAATGGCTGTAAGTGAAAACATTCAAAAAAATTCTTAGCTATCTGCTTCTGCTCCCTGTTCCCGCTCTGCTTTCCTCTAAAAACTCTAAAACTAAAGCCATCCAAATGTTTTAATAAATTTTACCTTACTCTGAAAATATCAGTGACAGAAAATGTCACCACTATTCTGCTCTGTGCTAAGGGCAGGAGGAAGCTCTGGGTTCTCAGTTAAAGTAACATCTGTTTTTATCTGCAAAGGACACACCAAAGGCAAAGAGTGTAGTTAAAGGTTCCTATTCACAGAGCAGAGGAATCTTATTAAAAGGAAGACTTAAATTAAATATTTTATTTAAAAAAATAAAAATCACAATGTTTGATTAAGGATTAGATCAACAGATCACTCAAAATGTCTGCTCCTTCAAACTGACTACTCACCAGAAACATTTCTATTTTATTATTCATAACGTAAATAAAATTCAAACATTTCTTTCTTTAAATACTATCTAATGAAATAATTTATAAAAGCAGTGAGTGTGTATATATAATATATGTATAATTTCAAATTACCTTAATAGTTTTATCCATATCTCCATAGCACAGGGAGTTAAGAGAGATTTTAAAAGGCCTCCAAACAGGATTCAAGTTGTTTTTAATAACCTATAAAAAAAAAGATTTAAAGACAAATTAGAAAAATATTCCATTCATTAATGCTTTGTTCTTGCCTTTCCTAGATTCCCACCACTCTCATCATTCATCCTTCACCTCTTCACCCATCCAACTTTGTCAATGAAAACCTAGCTAGGATAATATTATATACCTGTTATATGAAAAATGTGGTAGATTGTCTAATTGTGATGCACTGTGAGAAAGAAAAAAACTGGGAAATATATCCACTCTTTATAAGGTGCAATTAAAAATTAGAGAAGATTATTGGTTTTGTTGGAAACCAGAGTTTTCACAGCAGGACATAAAATTCAAATATGGAATAAGAAAGGCTGAGAAAGAACCTTGTTATGTTGGTTGTGAAGTAGAAAAATAGTCTAAATTCATAATTTAAAATTTTTAAAATATGTATATATAATAAACATATATACAAAAATATACATATTTCTCAGTTGTGTCCATTGAAAAGGTCTAAAAGCAATGACATCCCAGTAGAATGAGCACTCATATACCCTACTGTCCAAATACTACTACCCTCTTAAAGGAATAGGGTTCCATAAGAGAAATAGCTCATTCCAGACTTGGAACAGGTTATGTACATGTTGAATTAAGAACATAATTTCACATAAAATAAGAGACTGCTTAAAGACTAATGGAGTCATGTTAAAAGAACCCAAGAACCATTTCAAGGAGCTCTTCCTGGTCAAATTTGGATTAATATGAGCAGCAAAATTCATGACAGTAATGAATTATAAACACAGTGAATATACTATAACAATCCATGGGTCTATAATGATTCTAAAAATAAAGGTGAGAGAAATAAGAGTATCCGCAACCTCCAATATAAGTGATTCAGGTATGGATCATCAATGGATGCTAAGACCACTGGGCGAAATGGAGGTTATTCATGCAGTTTCAAAGAATCACACTGTAATCATTTATTAATTACAAAGGGAAAAAGGTGAGACTTTATCATAGCACAATCTGGCAGTCACCAGCTTAACCTAGTAGCCCAGACTGGAATCATCAGTACTGGGCATCCTGACACACCCTGATGATGAAAGATACACATACTGTGTTCTAGATGGAAATGTTTGATCTGGACCTAATTGTGAGGAAACAAAAGAATCCAGTATGTTAGACATACTGATCTTGATTACTCTAGAGATTCATAGCCTGAGGTATAAGGGAGGTAGGGAGAAGAGGACTATATTGGGAACATAATAGTCAAATGCAAAACGTGAACCTCGATTGGATCCTGTATTAAACAAAACAAAACAAAACATATATAAAACGTGGGAAAATTGGGGAGATCTGAAGATGAATGGTATATTAGATGATGTTACTAAATCAATGTTAATGCTCTCAGTTATGGAGGTGTAGAGAAATGCCCTTGTTCTTGAGAAATACCTACTGTAGCATTTAAAGGTGAAAAGTCACGATGTCTGCAGCCTACATTAGGATAGTTTTGCAAAAGGGCATGGATATGTGTGTGTGAGAGAGAGAGAACACACATGTATGCAGTTATGACCATTTGATAAATCTAGGTGAGGGATACACTGGTATACATTTTAGTGTTCTTTACAGGGTTTTAAATATTAAGCATAGTAGCACCTCCTCATTAAAAGAAAAAGAATGAGCATGCTGACTTTGTGTCTCTGGCAATTATATATGTCTGAACTCAGATTAATATTTTTATAAATACATAATTTTTATTTTCTTTCTTTTTTTTTTGCGGTACGTGGGCCTCTCACTGTTGTGGCCTCTCCCATTGTGGAGCACAGGCTCCGGACGCGCAGGCTCACCGGCCATGGCTCACGGGCCCAGCCGCTCCGTGGCATGTGGGATCTTCCCGGACCGGGGCACAAACCCGTGTCCCCTGCATCGGCAGGCGGACTCTCAACCACTGTGCCAATCATAATTTTTAAAAATTCAGATTACTACAATTCCAAAGGAAACCTCAACCCTACTTTTGAAATTCAGATATTCACCTCTGTTCGATGAACCATTAGCCAGTTTCCATCAGACATCTGCTTGTGGAATTCCAGGTATGGATCTGACTTTCCAAATAGATCCTACATTAAAATAAAAAAGCAATTATTCTCCTCCTAAACCATGTGAAACCACACTTTATACATGTTACATGTTAGCAGTACCTGAAGTTTAACTCTATAGTAAAGATATATACAGTACAATACAGCAGAAAATACAAATCCCAGCACCTTCCTCTCAAACATATGAGCCTGCTCAAGTCTACCAGGAGAACTTTTAAGGCACTTGTGATAAATGCTCATAATCCTGTGTATCACACCCTTACATGATGGCTTTAAAATATAGTGATCAATAGAACCCATTATCAATACAATATGTTTTTAGCTTGTTTTCATTATTAACAGTGTTCATTCATTCACATAGCACTGAGTAGTTTTATATAAATGATCCCATACATTAGTCATACTAACTCCATGAGAGACAGAACGAGAAAATGGATTCAGAGGAGTTAAATGACTTTGCCAACATCACACAACTAATTAATTGATGGATCTGAGCTTTGAGTTCATATCTTACCCTTCTATGTCCAATACTCCTTCAGCAATCCCACACATTTCTTTACACACACAAAGGAGCACACACAAGCAGATATGTGGAATGCACAACAGAAGTTCTTCAAGGGCACAAAGTACATCCCCTATTTCCTCTGTAATTCACCACAGCACAGCACTCCTGTATAATGCTCAAGTACAATGAGTGTTCAAAAATACCCTTATCGCCATCTTACACACACACACACACACACACACACACATACACACTCTTACACAGGGAGATAAAATTCTGGAAGAATGTACAAATCGTTCCCAGAGGTAAAACTCAAGAGAGTAAGATTGTGGATGATTTTATTTTCTCATTTTTATTTTATCTTCATTTTGAAATTTCTATACTCCTTAGCATATATTACTTATTATTTGTGAAATAGAAAGGACACCTGTTAATCTCACAGTAATATACACAGATATGTCGCTACACTGAAGATTTTTTTCAGTCCTGAATTTACCTCAGTATTAAATTAAGAAGATAAAATTACTTCCTTCCTCAGCACAGTCTAATGTTAAGAAAGTAACACATTCGGCACAGTCAAAAATGTAAACACAAAGACTAAGCAGAACTTTTAAAATTTAATCTTATCTTTAAGAAGAAACTTAAGTAATGTAATAAGCCTCTCTATGCCCCATTTTATAAAACTAAGAACAGCATTATACACAGAGGAGTTAAATGTGTTTTTACACATTAACATGCCCTGTCTCACTTATCTTAGAAATAATCTTTTGAGAAAGGCAGAATATCATTATTACCATATTGAAGGTCAGAAAACAGACCTTGTTTGAAAGTTCATTAATATGACAGTAGTAGAACTAAAATAAGAATTAAAAGTCCCTGACTCTGGGATAAGTTATGTCAAAAAAGCAAGGTAGAGGAACGTATGCATAATATATTATGCTACACTTACTCATGGGCTGAGGCTGGGGAATATAAATACAAATACATACATACACACATGCACACACATATCTATGTATATAGATATACACATGTATGTCTATTTGTATGTTTATATATACACACAGACATACATATACATATGCACATGTATAGACACACACAAAAAAAACTTAGTTTTTTTGGAAAATGAAGGATTAAACCATAAAATATAAAGTTTAAAAAAGTATTACATACAGCCAGGAAAGAAAAAAATATAGAGCAGACAGGGAAAGAAGCTAAATTTCTTGAACATACCTTGTTTTGATTAATTCTTATTGATGCCTAATGCCTACTGATGCCTAGATTTGGCTTTGGAACCATCTTATACATGATTGTAAAACAAAATTAAATCAAAAAAAATTGTAAAGCAATCCCTAAATATCAAAAGCAAAATTCGATTATGTGTTAATGTTACAGCATAACCATTCAGAGAAGAATTATTTGAAACACAAGAGTTGAACTGTAGAACTCAAGTGGAATATATAAGCCTAAAGACAAAAGAACTTCAAAGAAAGCTCAAACTGTTTTCAGTAAAAATATTTTAATTATAACATGAATATTTATATTCTTAAACTATTAGATATTATATAGGACAAAACAGATAAGCAATTATGTTAGTATCTTTGGGAATCAACATTTTTGACATAAGTGAAAAGAGGTGCTAACTACAGAATTAAAGAAATACAGCCTTGTAATTCTACATCTAAATTGGAAATCGTTGTACAAATTTATGATTTAGTTTCCCTTAAAAAAGAAAAGACTTTCCTATATCTGTCCACTGAAAAATCCTAGAAACAATGAGTGACAACAATCAATAAATGTTAAGCACTTCTAGTACCACATTGTGGACTCATTGTAGAAAGGCTCCCTTTGATCTGTCAATCTGGAGCAGAAATTAGATAAAATAAGCCTGGAACATTTGTCATGCCACAGAGCAGGAAGCTATCCAGAGACCTCTGGGGTCATGCCAAATGGTCTCATGAACAAACTTAAATATGTTCCCTCCCATAGGCTAAAGTTGGGATACTTTAGGCATCAATAAGAATTAATCAATATAGTTCACAAAAAAATTTTTTAAAAGTCCTCATTGGTCACATATAGAGGAATTTATTATTTTGAAAAATGGTAAATATGACAAAAAAAATCAAACATTTCAACTTGCCTTTTCTGGACAAACTGTATCTCAGAATAAATAAATACCTAATGTGAAGAATATTTCTCTCTGTAGAAGTATTCTCACAAGTAAGTGAAGAAGTGATGATAGCATGAGAATATCACTATTTTAAGACCCTTAATAAAATAATATATCTAGGTAGTTGTCATCAATGGTCACTAATACCCCAAAAGACAGAACTTGACAATGTGTGCCTCTTGATGGAATTAATGCCACCACCTATGAAACTCATACCAATTCAAGATACCACCAGATCATACCTCTAGATTCAATTCCAGCTTACAGAAATCAGGAAATAAAGGTGGAGAGATGAACATGTTACATGACACCACAGGGATTTAATTAGCTTATACAGTGTGTGGAAACTTCTATAGGACAAAGGAGTCAGTTTATTGAATAAATTCCATGGATGGATAGGAGGGAGGGGGAGAGAGAAAGGGAATAAGAGAGGAAGAGAGGGAGGGAGGGAAGAAGTAAAAGGAAGAGGAAAATTTATAGATTAAAAAAATTTAAGAGACATATTAACCAATTATATTATTTTAAAAGTCCTTAGAGATACACCAAAACATATATGGATGAAATGATGTGATGTCTGGGAGGAGAGAAAGTAGATAGGGGTAGGGATGAGACAAAATTTGTCATGAGTTAAAACTGTTAAAGATAGGTGGTGGGAACATGGGATTTTTAAAAAATACTTTTCTATTTTTGTATATGTTTAAACTTGTCCAAAAAAAAAAGATACTGGCTACTAGTTTAAGATATTTGCACACTGAATTGTAAGGTATATGAAAATGATGAAGACTAATGATTGGATTACAGGATTACATACAAAAATCACTCAAAGAATTATTCCAAACCATGCTATAAACTAAACTGCTGTGTTCTTATGTGCTGGTACTCATTCTTCAAGAAAAATTGACTTTTGAACGCAAAGAGGAAAATTTAATTAATAAAGCATGGAATTTTCACTTTTTTCCTTAAGTAATCCAAATACACTCTCAAATGCCTCTTACAGTAACATTAATGATTGTATTAATTCTTCTTTTAAGCTATACAAACACTTTGATTACATCTAGAGGAAAGAGGTAAAGAGAAATGGCTTCTGCTTAAACACACACACAAACAGAAAGCAGAATTTGGAAGTAACTAACACTCAAAGTGATGCTTAGATGACAGAGTTCATAATATTAATTCCATTATTATTTTCTCAAAAAGGAATCAATGTGAGGCAAAACATGATACCTTGTTGAAATCTGCATCACCTACCTACCTTATTATCAAGTTTTCTTGCTTCCATTTCAAACAAGACAACTCTGTTATCCTTTATTTCTTCAGCTGAAATCTATGAGTAGACAAGGTAAGTGAAAGAAAATGTTTTGGGGATTTTGATGTACTCAGGAAGTACTGAATTATTCTGTCATCTAATGGTATATAAAGTCTATACTAATATGTGAATTCTAAAAGGTTTAATAACAAAATGGTACCATTAAGAAAGATTTATCACTATTTCTTTTATGCATGTGAAATAAATATTTTCCCAAAATATGCCTAGTCTGCATTATGCAACTTCCTTTTTAATGCTGTTGCCCAAACTGGATCTTCCCTCTTCCAGTGAAAAATCAAAGCCCTGGAAGATTGCAAAACACTAGTGAGAGCTCTCCAAACATTGAGAAGCATGAGTAAATCACACACTATAAATTCAAATATCGGATCAATGTTTTCATCCAAGGTAACTGAAAGACTTATTCTACTTAAAAATAAATTCCAGGCTATCATGACCCCAAAAGCAATAAAGCTAACTACTGATAATGATCTCTGTCCCACACACAGAAGTCAACACCCTCAAAAGACTGAACATTCTTATGCCTCAGGAATCTAAACTAGGGCAAAACAGCTGCTCAGAGAAATGTGTTTGATAATCGTAATAATCTTCAAACACGGTTTTCTCAGAGAGCCAGCCTTCTCAGGCAGAGCTAAAGTAAAACAACTATCTTTTCAGGCAGTGATTACCTGGACAGAAACTCTAGAAGATAAAATATGTAAAAGCATGGCATTATGTAATTTGAAATCTGAAACAAGATAATGCATATATTCATTTGCCCAGGTCCAGTAATCAGCAATGGAAAATTTGGACAGCAACGTGCAAGCACAAAAGAAACATGGTTAAGAGGTTCAATGGCCATGTCATAATACGAGATCATTCTGGAATCAAAACCATTACGGAAAGTCTCTGCCATGTTTGCTTTGTTGAGAGCCAAATTGATCCATTCAGATTATTAAGTAATTTCTTTCTCACTTGGGAATTTACGCTTCCATCGAGAAGAGGCAAGCATTACCAAGATGTGCCTGACTCTATAGGCAACTTAAAAAACTCAAAGAAGGGATTCCCACACTGCATTTTTCTTTCTTTTTGGCACAACACAGTTTCCAGTTGTGATCACTTTAAGGCAAGGCAACATTCAGGATCAAATGATAAAGCATGGCTGTGGAATATTTGTCTGATATATACAGTTTTAGCATGTCCTATTATGCTAAATCTTCGGAGGAAAAAAGACAAATATCTTATCGTTACCGTAATGCTTCCTTTCCCTGCAGGTCTGCCATTTTTAAGCACCAGTGGTCGAGTTAGTTTCTTACTGGAAACAATCTGTTAAAATTGGAAAGTGAAAGAAAGAGCTATTTCACTTCAACATGTGAATGTTTAGACTGAATGGTTTCAAAAAGGGTTGAGTATAAAGTTCACTTAAAGTCATTAGAAATGGAAACATTAACTCCATTCCTTAAAGACTTAGAGATTATAAAACTCATCTACACCCACTGCAAAAGATTTCCAAGGAGCCAATCCAGATAGATAAAATCTCCCCACCCACCAGTTTCTTTATCAACTACTTCAAAGTTAAATCCTTCCTTGTAATGAAAAAAGAGGGCCAGATTCTCATCATATACAAATCACTGAGCTGAAATGAAACCCCTGTAGGTAAAATGTGGGTCTTAGAGTACTCAATAAATGGGATTCAATTTTTCAGCTGAAACGTAACTTCAGTATATAATCCCCACAAGATACCATTTTGATTAAAATAATATAGTAGACCTAGGTACTCTCAAATAGATCTATTTCTCAAATTTATTATAATTTTAGATACACTGTGATTTTTTTCCCAAACAATCAATACTTCTTTAATTTTCTCTTTGATACTATTTATCAAAGTTTGAGAAAATTGATCAGCTCCATGTTGTCCTTGAGACATAGGAAATAACATGATCTCCAAAAAATTCAACACTAAAAAATAAACTCATAAAAGACAAATCTTAGAAGTAGATGTCACCCACGGAAAAAAATGACCCCTCCCTCCTGAAGCCTTCCCTATTCTATAATAAATGGTCATGATCTCTCCTTACAAGTCAAACTAAGCTAGAAGTACAATGGTGAGCCCACAGACACACCCCTGCTCTACAGACCCAACCTGTAATATCCTAGAAAGACAGACAATTAAGCAACTACAATAAAATATGGTGAGTGTTAAGGTAGAAGCGGTAGAGAGGACCAAGCGAGCACATGGAGGGATCCAAACTACTCTAGGGCGTCAGAGAAGGCTTGCTAGGGGGAGTAAGTTCCATACCTAAGGTTAGAGGAGGAGCAAGCCAGGTAAAGGTATGGTGCTGGGGCCGGGATTGGGGGAACATCGGAGAAGCTGCTGTTACATTGACAGCATTTATGACTTAAACAAAAGAACAATACTGTACTGAAATCTGCAAACAGCAGACAAGCAGTTAGAGCAATGGTATTATTTATTGAAATGTTGAATGAAACACCCATACACACATGGTCCCTACCCTCATGAAAATTAAGATAATGTTCAAGCAAAACATACTAATATATGAACTCAGTCTTTAATTACAGAGTTTTTCAACTTGAGCAATTAAACTAATGAGCACTTATCAGAAACACCCAATTCTTTGGTTCAAATTTAGACAAAACATTTATACTATATATACTCACTTGTCCAAGGGTACATTCACATTCTCCTAGGAAGTCATCATCACTCAGCTCGACAGTTTTGTTGTCAATGTCATAAATCCCAAATTTCAATTTCTGAACCACTTCAAAGTAGTAATCAATAATAAATGTCTTGGAAAATTTGGGTTTCAAGCAATTCTTAATCCTTTCTGTGCGCTCAACCTATATTCACTCCCCCAAAATAAAAAAGTTTCTTCAGATCAAAAGTGCATGTGTTTAATATCTTTATATACTACATGTAACTAAATACAGGCATGGTAGCTAAAGGAAGTGTTTATATGTGTATGAAAAATTTCACAGTCAAGGACAAACTTGCCCAAAAAACTGCAATAACAGATGAGATGGTTTTATTATTTTTAACATTTTTAATAAACTCTTCATATTATCAAAAGAGCAATACAGATCGCTTTTCACCTACAAGTATTTAACATTACCTCATACCACTGTTGACCACTCGTATTCAAAAATAACACACACAAAGGGTCTGACTTTGACCCTACATCTTTATCCAAAAGATTGTCACAGGAAATATTCAGTTCCACCTTTGTGACACACTGGGCAGCCATCTCTTGAGCTGTAAGAAAAACAAAGAAATGAGAAAGCTGGTGAAATGGTGCCTTTAAGAAGCACATGCATTCCTTGGGAATTCCCTGGCAGTCCAGTGGTTAGGACTCAGCACTTTCACTGCCAGGGCCTGGGTTCGGTCCCTGGTCAGGGAACTAAGATCCTGCAAGCTGCGCGGCATGGCCAAAAAAAAAAAAGAGGCACATGCATTCCTAATGAATTATCTGAATTCTTAAGACAAATTGTCAGAATAGGATAACAGAGTGAACTTGCTAGAATAAGACTTTGTTATATGCGCTTCCAGGCAATTCAGATGTCTTATTAGCCCATGCCAGTGATGTTTCAGTCAGATTCTCTTGCTGGGATAAAACTCATTTACTGTGTGACAACAAAATGAAGCTTTGAAGATGGCAAAAAAGACATATTAAATCTTTTCATCACTACAAATTTTACCATTCAGAAAAAGTCCAAGTATAATCTTGATCCTTCTTTTAAACATAGCCTTCTGCTACAAAACAAAACAGATTAAACCTCAACCTTAATTTTATCTGTGTTTATCTGACAAGATACTGAGTAAGATATTTGCCATTTTCAAGGAAATTTTGGCTAAGACCCAAGCCTGGAGAATAAAAGACCCCAAACACCCCTCCTCTCCTCACCCCATCCCCGCACATTTGCTGCTTTTGGAATCACCTGGGGAGCTTTCAAAGCCACTGATGCTGGTGTCCCACACAAAGAGATGTAATCTAATTGGTTTAGGGTGCAACCTGGGCATCGGCTCCTTGGATGATTTCCATGTGCAGGCAAGGTTGACAAACCCACCATTCTACAGAGAGCATCCAGCAAATAGGCATGGCTCATCTTTCGTCAAGACTTGCTAAGAAAGACCAGAGTTAGCCTAACTTTCACCCAGCCCTCCTTGCCCCGACCTCCAATCATTATATGAAGAGGACTGGGGAGAGGGAGGATTAGCTGGGGGCTGGCCCTGAGAGATGATGCAGTGTTGAGGGTGAGCTACTTTCCTTCCTGAACCCAGGGAAAGAAAGAGCCTGCAGGTGTCACCAAGAAGAGGAAGCAGGCATTACATGCCCCAGCTGGAAGTCCACTTAGCCACCTGTCTAAAGCAAAGTGGAGGTTGCAGGTTCTGGAGGCAGAAAGGCACCTCCCCACCTAGAGCTGCTGGCAACATCCTTAGAATGTGGAGTAAGTAGTTAGTGCCCTTGTCTTCCACTCTTGAGATTTAGCTGACATTCTGGGACTACAGGAACAAATCTACTCATCATCTTGTTAGATTCAAACAGGATTTCTGTGCTGTACAAAATGTGTGATCAGTTCTGAAATAATAAGGATCACTATTAGAAGAACTCTTTGGCAGTGTCAAAAAACAACTCATATCTTATAGAAACTAAATACTCTGTTAGACTCTAAAAATAGCAGCAATCCTCAATGTGTGTCAAAAAATGCAACACTAGCATTTAAGATTCCTAAATTAAACAGAATAATAAGGTAGGTTTTGTAGTCTTAGTAGCTAAAAATTCCTTTTAAAAGCCATTATATATGTATGTCCCTCACCTGAGAAGAGAATTATTCCCTAATAAGCAACAAACTTCACAAATTCCCAATTTGCTTCCTAAATTCCCTACATAAGGATGTTGTAGTAAGACTAAAACTACTATGGCCTTTTACTATGAAGTCAGATTTTTTTTTTTGCCCACTTTACATGCATCAAAATTATTAAGTGGTAAAATACACCGTACTGACAACCTGTACGAAAGATACTAAGGTCAAGGAGAAATCAATAAAGCCGACAGAGGAGAATTAACAGTATTAAGAGTGCAGGTGAAACTGACACTGCCTAGGCTTTGAAATCTCATTTAAACAGGTGAAGAGGGAAACAGCACAGGGACAGGAAAGAACAAGACAAGAGAAGTGAGCATCTGTGTCAGGGAAAGCCAAGACAGAAAGCGGGGCAAGTTTAGAGTATCCTGAGAGCCAGATTGAAGGACTCAGTAGGTGCATAATAAGGCACTACTGCAAGTTATCAAACTGTGGATAACGGGATGAAATGGTTTATTTTAAAATAAAATAAAAGTAAATAAAATAAATTCAACAGGCAAATGGATAAAGATGTGGTACATATATACAATGGAATATTACTCAGCCATAAAAAGGAACGAAAAGGAATATTATTCAGCCATAAAAAGGAACGAAATTGGGTCATTTATAGAGACGTGGATGAATCTAGAGACTGTCGTAGAGTGAAGTAAGTCAGAAAGAGAAAAACAAGTATCGCATATCAATGCATATATGTGGAACCTAGAAAAATGATACAGATGAACCAGTTTGCAGGGCAGAAATTGAGACACCATGGAACCTAGAAAAATGGTACAGATGAACCGGTTTGCAGAGCAGAAATTGAGACACCGATGTAGAGAACAAACATATGGACACCAAGGGGGGAAAGCGGCCGGGTGGTGGTGGTGGTGGTGTGATGAAATGGGAGATTGGGATTGACATGTATACACTGATGTGTATAAAATGGTTAACTAATAAGAACCTGCTGTATAAAAAAATAAATAAAATTCAAAATAAAATGTCACTTGTGTCAAACCTCTTCTAATTTTATCTTGGAATTTAGAACACTCCAACATATGAAGAAAGTCTCTTCATCCAGTAATACGCAAAATACAGAATTTACCAAAATTAGCATGTGTTCACACCAATTTAGTTCAGAAGATTAGTTATTTATTTTCTGAAATATATACAATACTAGAGGTATTTGCAATAATAGTGTGAATACAATCACCATTCTTTCTCACTTTGATTTATGAAAAAAGAAAAAGTGCTAAAAACATAATAAGAGGCAAGAAGAAACTAGTAGGAAAGGGGAAATACCTCAAAACTCAAAAGCACAGAGACAATGGTCCAGGGACTTTGAAGCTATGCACATCCATGAAGTCTCTGGCATATTGACACTGGGGCCTCATCCTCAATCTCTTCTTCCTTTAGATTGTGCATGCCTAATTCTCCTCTTCTGTGCCTTTGACTAGTACCTCTTCTCCTCCCATCCAAGAAACTGTGAGCATCCCTTTAGGCTCTGTCACTTCCTGACCTTTGGCTACCTTTACTTCTTTGACCTGACCCCTCTCAAGGCTTCAGCTAACCACTTGGCATAAGGTACTCCCAAACCTATATCCTTCACCCCTGTCCCTATGCACAATTACTTTTACCCTATTTTACATCTACTGTTTTCAGCCCTGAAGCATCCTCCCTTGATTGGCCCCTTCCTCTTCATTGCCTCATTTCATAGGCTCTGGAATCAGACTGCTGAGTTCTCATCTGGATCCCACCACTGGCTTAACGTGTGACCTTAGGCAAGAGCTTAACCTCTCCATTTCCTCATCTACAAAATGAAAATAATAACTGTTCATAGGGTTATTGTAAGGACTAAATGAATTAATACATTTAAACAGTGCCTAGAGCATGGTAAAAGTTGTTTTATCATTATTATTATTTTTTAATTTTATTTTAAGACTACCTGCCTCCAGGGTCTGATCCTCTCCTATCTATCCCATGTTTCATATTTTTTATTATTCCACTCCATGTTTCCCAATTATTCCAACCTGCACCAAGTCCCTTGTTCGAGTTACTGCTGCATTAATAGTAACAGATTACTACAGTACAGAACAATATCAAATTTGGAGCAATACACACCTGGGTCGAATCCTGCATCTGGCGCTAGCTGTGTGACCTCGTATAGGTTACTTTCAGAACCTAGATTTCCTCATCAGTAAAAATAAAGACACTGCAAGTGAACTCGCGAATCTGACATGTGCCAGGCATCTTGCTTTTCATATTTAACACAGAATCTATGGAATAAATGTTAATTGTGTAACTTTTTTTCTTTTGCATAAGGTAGTTTAGAGTCTCATAAGCTGCATGGATAATGCAGTATCTTGCGGAGGGACTTAGAATGAGCAAGGACCTCTAAGGCTCCCACAAAACAACTTGTAAAGAATTCTCTACTAGCAGCCAGAAAGCCCTCAAATTTCCAAGGATGCGGAACAGAGAATGAAGATAATACCTACGTGTAATGTCAGTCTCATAGCAAAGAGACACAACACATCAGAAGAGCATTATTGTTTTTCCTTAAACATGCTCATACAAGAGCTACAAAAATAATGTGCCAGGCACACCTGATTATTTAGTAAATTGCTGACAGTTACATAACTGCATTGTAGCTGGGACACAAATTTCCTCTATTAGCAGCAATCCCCCCCTGAAAATGACTCTTAGGGCAGCACTGTTTTTATCTAGAAACCCATTATGGCTGAATGGCAAATGGAAGAAATTACATAAACACTTGGGTCTGAAATGTTCTTAATAGCCACATTTATGAAGATTTTCTTTTCATTTCCTTTCTAAGTAATTACCCAGCACAGGATAATTTTTATTATATTAAAATATCCAGTTTTTAAAAGAGCAATAGGTATTCTTTTATGATGGAAGAAAACAAAACAAATGTTTTATACCCTTTAGTATGGAAAATAGGAGATTTGGCTGGGATAAGTGGGCAGGCAGAGGAATGCATGTGCAACTAAAGAGCAATTCTATATATTTCACTCCTCAAAGAGCAAGATGATGGAGAGAAAAGACAGAAATAGCCTCTAGGATTAGACAACAGCTTCTCTACTGTATAGATTACTCATTGGAGAATTGTTCGGTTTCTAAATGCAATTAACCCCTAGAGAGCGTATGAACCATTCTCCCAGTCACCCTAACTTTCCTGAATCAACATAACACAGATAATTCAAAGGAATTAAAAATTAAGACCTAATATCTGAAGTGGGACCTGATGTGTGAAATTTAAGGCATATGGTTATTCCCATGCCCTAGATGAAAATCCTCAAGTCCTGTCTGCTTCCTCTTTTCCCATCTTCCCTTAGACTCACTCCTTAGATCTCTTCAGTAAAGGAGATTCTGCCTACTATAACCCCAAATCTCTCCAAT